GTGAACTTTTTTCTTCGTCAAATTAATTGATCTGCTGTCTTTCTTTGAGTTTTAGTCAAAAATAAGAGTATCAAATTTATTTTAACTTTAACTTAGGTGAATACAGTATAGTAACTAAAATAATTACGTAGAGATTTATGAAATGTCATTCTTAGTGAAAGAAAAACATTTCAATTTTAACTGCATTTTTCTCATCGAACATCAGTGAACAAAGAAAAATGAGATTCTGTGTTTCAAAATTTGAGAATAAAAACAACTTGTAAAAGTACATAGATTTCCACATCAATTTTTTATGGGTTAATTGCCTTTAATATTTATCAGCACTAATGATATCAACCATGCCTGAAAACAGCATGGTTTTTCTCACGGCTAATATTCGTACTGCACATATTGATAAATGATATACTCCCATATTTATATAAAGGTGTGTACTCGGATGTAGTCGAGATGAATATCAACATCTAAATCCATCTAGATCCATTCCTAGCTCTCAATTACCAGGCATAAGGAAGGATAGGGTGTGGGTGTGAGTGTGGTTGCTTGTCTAAAAGATACCTACACTCTACATTCGTACCCCATAGCCACACCTACACTCACCCACATCAGGGACTATCAAATGAAACTTGAACGACCTCGATCACTTTAACCGTTTTCGAGAAAATATCAAAATTTCGACCACAGTGAATTTGTCAATAAAATGACTTGATGATCAAGAGGGTGAAAATAGCCGGTTCGGGCTAAAACTTTTTTACGAGGATTTTAAATCGGAAAAATTTTGATTTGCCGGTAATAATGAATGTTCTTTCAAACTATGTTGTTAAAATGGAAAAAAATGATTTAGCAGCAGCCACGATGTTTGGTGGTCAGGTAGAGCCTCTCTTAATGACTCCTGTCAATCGTATGATTTAGACGGGGCTTAATGACGGAGAAAAATCGGGCCTACTCATGGACGGGTTCATTTTGAGACAAACACTAGCCAGGACAGGTCGACATGACTAGAAAAATGTCTGGTCATTTAACCCGTCTTTTGCTCACTTGGGCATGTTGCATTTATAAGCGAACAAAATTTTTCAAAAATAAAAATTTTCATTTAATAAACAATTAATTTTCAAGTCTTTTATGAAAGTTTGACAACAATTTTTAGAATGTCTCTTAGACGGAACATGGATCGTCTGAAGATTATGAATAATCTTTTTAAAAAAGAATATTTTGATTTGAACTCTGTTCGACAACAATCTTACTTGAATAAGAATGCTGAAAACTTTAAAAAAAATAATCTTATCACAAATGTAAATAGATAAAAGAATGATTCTCAATAAGTGAATATTCGTCGAGAAAATTATATAAAGACATATCATCGAAACATTGATTGTAGAACTATAGAAAACACAATTTCGCAAAATATTGGTTTTTTTTTCTTTAACTCTTAGACAATTATGATTTTTTCATGAATTTATCCATGTAAATAAAAGTTCGACAATGATTTACTGTTTATTTCGATGTTAATCGAATTCGAAGATAAGATTTTTATAATAAAAATAAAAATAAATTTGTCATCTCTAAATAATTCATATGATTATTCCTATTTTAGAACGTTTTTCTTACAGGTTCTTTATTTCAAATATTGAACTAATCGTCAATTGAATAGTATTATTAATGAATAATAAAATTGCCAATCAATGATAACTTACAGTTAAAAGTAGTAAACCATAACTTTGGCAAGAATGTTGTTCTTTAAGAAGTAATTAAACAAAATATTTCGTGATTTTAAAGATGCAAAAACTGCAAAGCAACCAAATACATTTTAAATGTTACTTAAATGTTGTTCACATAGATTAAAAAGAAAACTATCAAATATTCCTAATTGAAAAGCTACTATTCGATTATTTATATATGATAGATGTAAGACTGAATTAGAATCTGCTAAAATATTTATTTCATTATTATTACAGTGACATTTCTTTGCAAAAGATTGAAAACATTCTTATAAGAATTTCCAAATCTCCAGCACGAGTTTGAATTCTAATTGGAAAAAATCTCGGTGATAAAGAGACCATTAAGCAATCATACTCCAAATCCTGAAGTTGAAAAAAAATATAAAATAGAAAAAAAGAAAATTTATGGTTTAAAGTTTATATTTGCAGAGTGAGGTACAGATTAAGAGAAAACTCACCTGCATAGTTGGAAAGAAGTGGCCCACTTGATTACTATCTATCATTATTTTACTCTTTCTCTGTTTTATGCCTGTCTACTGTAATTGAAACAACAGAACAGAACGAAAATATCTGTCGTCATCTACAAAAAAGTAGAGAAATACGGCTGTTTCGTTTTATTACTATTACATATACGATGCATATATAATTCAATGTCGACGATTGCTTCAGTTTTAACGAATACAAAGAGCGCTTTAATGCTAGTGCTGGTTTTGCTTTGTTGTAGTTAATAGAGTTCAGCTAACAATTTGACTATTGTCATTGGCAAGTAAACCGTATCTTTGTTTTTTTTAATATAAAATCACTCGTTTTCTCTTATTATTGTGCGACTTTTCTTCTTGATATCGTTGGAGTTACTGGAAAACATTTTTCTTGAGACAAAGCGTGAAATCTTCGAAGTACTTTGTTGTATGAGTATAGATATTCAGTTAAATATGTTAATCGTAAAGAAATATAAAGATCCTTCAATACCATATTGCTTTATGGTTTGAATTTTTTCAAAATACGCTTATGATCATTTTTGTCCTATTGGACAAACAGCAAAATAATGTCTTAGATTAATATATAGACTAGGTCGATATCTTCTCTGCATAAGAACAAATAGTATCCTATTGGTGGAATTCATAGGGGTACGCAAGCTCAGCTCAAGCTCACAAATGATGAGCCGTTGAAAACGTTCACTGAGACAAACTGAACTATTCGAACAGTTCATTTGAGCGAACTGACCTTTCTCAAACAGCTCATCTCACTTGAGCTGAACTGTTAGAACAGCTCATTTGAACGAACTGAGCTTTTGAAACAGCTCATTTCAAATGAGCCGAACTCTTCGAACAGCTCATTCGAACGAACCTAACTATTCCTAGGGGTACTCATAGGTTTCTTGAGGGCTACCCTATAAGGGTGCCCATAGGTCCTCAAGTTCTATTACTGGGGATATCCTTGGGTTCTCAAGTCCTATTATTGAGGGTACCCTTGGGTCCTCAAGGACAAATACCAAAGCTGTATTTTCGCTGTGTTTCACTGGGTAGGAGCCCACACATATACCCATCAATCGATAGAGCATCCTCGATAACCCTATGATTGGCCCGAATATGGCTATATGTTGTCCTTACAATAAAAGAAAAAACGGTTCCTGAAATCTGATTGGTCTATTTTTGGACCAATCATATGGTAGGATCCTATTTCTCAGTGAGGGGACGGGTGGGCACCCCTACATATAGCCATCAATCGATAGAGCACCCTCGATAACCCTATAATTGGCCCGAACATGCCCATCACTTGCCCTCACAATAAAGGGAAAAAAATTTGAACCCGCTCGCGTACCTTCCAGTAGTAAGACTTGAGAACTCAAGAGTACCCCAAATAGTAGGACTTAAGGACCTATGCATCCCGTGTAGGGTAGCCCTGAAGGACCTATGCGTCCGTATAGGGTAGCCCTAGAGGACCTATGGGTACCCCTACAAAAGTTCAGTTCGTTCGAATGAGCTGTTCTAAAAGTTCAGCTCATATGAAATGAGCTGTTTCAAAAGTTCGGTTCGCTCAAATGAGCTGTTATAACAGTTCAGCTCATATGAAATGAGCTGTTTCAAAAGTTCGGTTCATTCAAATGAGCTGTTCTAACAGTTCAGCTCATGTGAAATGAGCTGTTTCAAAAGTTCGGTTCGTTCAAATGAGCTGTTCGAACAGTTCTTTCGCTCATTTGAACTGAGCTTGCGTACCCCTAGGAATTCATCAACAGAACGGAAAAAAATCTTTTCACCTCGATTTCAAAGCGAAAACGACACTAGCATTTTATATTAAAATCGAAAAATAGAGGCACACTTGTCCTACTCTCAAAATTCATAAATAGTAAATGATGAGAAAATTTTTTTGTTTCTCGTCGTTTACACAGTTACTTAAAATGAAAACTTCTAAATGAATAAATAGTTTGTCAGATGAAGTCTAGATCGGTATGATTGATAGCCATGTTGTTTGAATCTTTATATCATCAAATTATGGAATGACTTTAGGTGATCAGCCCAATAGCATATTTACTGCATTATTCTATACAAAAATTCATCCAATTTCGCTAATAGCCAGCACTAAGTATTTATTTGAAATTGAAGCATGTGAATGAGAGTACTCTACGTCAGACTGGTCTTTTGCGTAGGAAGCTATCAGTAATGTATCAAGCGTGAAGAAAAGAGTGCATCATGTTCACTACTAAAAGAGGTCACTTACCATTGCCATTGACTTGATAATGGCAACAACACCATTATTGATTATCAGAACAGTTTGATGGAAAGATTTTCTGGATCGAAAGATCTGAATCTAAGTACGATTTGCTGGAAACAATCAAACTCGAACATTTTAAGGAAAGATTTATAGATTCCAATTTCTTGAGTTCGAAAACCTTCGATAAAATTTTATGACAAACAATTTGTCCGCAAAATCGATCTCTGCTGATCGAAAAATGAGTTCAGCCTTTAAATTTTATGTGTCAATCTAATCGTTTATCTGCTGTGCCAACTCTAGATCGATGCATCACTTTACCGTACATTGTAGACTGACGATACACTAGTGGACGACGTATTAGTGTCACCATAATCGTCGCATCCTAAAGCAGTGCGAAGATATTGGGCTCATAGAAACTGTCTGTATTAGCACTCTATATCAGTATCAATAGCTGAAAGGCAAAATATTTTTTCTTCTTTCTAAATTTAAGCCTATGAGAATCTTACTTTATTTTCTCCTTATTTAATATAAATTTTGTATTTCAAGAAAAAAAAACGTTCTTCGTGAATTAGCATGGCCCGATTCAAATTATTGTTAACAAAATTAGATGAAATACAAAATCATGATGATTTCCGAGTGGTTTGGTTTTCTTCGGATAATAATTTTCCACATGAATTAGCACATTTTGTTGATTACTTAGAGAAATATGAGTCGTTTGAAACTTGTGATAATTATGTAAAAGAATTTCAAAGTGAACGTATGATTATACTTGTTTTAATCGAATTATTTGAATATTTATCATATTTCAATAGTCTTCTTCAAATTCAATCAATTTATATTGTGCAAAGAAATCTTCAAAATATGGAATATGAAAAACAAAAATATTCGAAATTGGTTAATATTTTTACAGATGAACGAACATTAATTGAACGATTACGTCATGATATTCTATTAACATATAGACATGATTTACCAATAACTATTTCATGTTTAGATGAAATTAAAACTGAACAGTCCTTAATGAGTTTGAATACACATTCATATACACTTTTATGGAATCAAACATTTATGCATCATCTAGTTAACGATCCTGATATAGATATGAATAGATTGAAAAAAAACATGATAGAACAATGTCAACTAGAATATTCAAATGATCAAGTTGAATTAAATAAGATTAAGGAGTTCGATGAGAAGTGTACATACGATAATGTATTATATTGGTATACAAAAGATTCATTTGTCTATCGACTTGTAAATAAAGCATTTCGTAAGCGAAATATTGATTTAATTTGCAAATTTCGATATGTTATCATACTTTTATATAAAAAACTAAAGGAATTATCAATAAAACAACAAAAAGAAAATTATTCGACTGTTTATCGAGGACAAAAGCTCGGTAGAAATGATTTGGAGAAATTGCAGTCCAATGTTGGACATCTAATATCAATAAACACACTTATGTCAACATCACGTGACGAAAATATTGCTCGTGGATTTATATTTGGTGTTGAAGTTGGAGTTATATTTGAAATTAACACTATAAGTGCAAGTGATAATATTCTTCATCCATTTGCTGATATTTCTCAGTTTAGCTTAATACGAAGTGAAGGAGAAATTTTATTCTTTGCCGGTGCAGTTTTTCGTATTAATTCTGTACAGAAAGAAAAGGATTTCACATGGATTATTAAACTTACTCTATGTAACGAAACAGTCGAACAGATAGAACAATTTATGGATGGTATCAAAGAGCAATTAGCTTCTATAACATGTTGGGATCATTTTGTTATGAAAACAGATGATTTGATTCTGTTTAAAAAATATTACAAAATATTAATAGGAAAAAAATTTTCATGGAAAGATATAATGACAAATGTGACCGGTATTCATTTCTATTATCTATTTAGTATTTTCGGTGATTATGAAAAAGTTATAGAATACTACAGAGAACTTTTACACGATGAAAAATTTGTTGATGATCAACTACGTATTCTTCTTATTATTTTAATTGGTTATAATTATTTTCATGTTTTTGAATTTGATAATGCTTTATTTCACTATGATATTGCATTATCATCATTAGATGATAATCATATATTAAGAGGTGAAATTTATATTCATATTGGTGATGTATGGAGAACAAGAGATAATGTTGAAACTGCATTATCATATTATAAAAAAGCATTAGAAATTGTTATGAGTCGAGATGTTGATAATCGTGATGTGGCTAGACTATGTAGAAAAATATTTGATATCTATCTAGAACAAAATAATTATGAAGATGCCGTTATTTATCAGGAACAAGCAGATACAATTGATGAAAATTATAGACAAAGATCAGAGTTTGATATCGAAACATCATTGAAATATTTTCAAAATCAATTAGATAATCAATCTGGTCATTCACAATTTCAACGTGCCAATACATTATATTCAATGGGTCAATGTTTTATGAAGAAAAATGACTATTCTCAAGCATTAAAACTGCTTTTACAAGCGAAAGAATTGTTTGAAAATCATTTACCGTCACATGATGAGTTTGAATATATATTTTCTACACTCTTTCTGAATATTGCATTGGTTTATGCACTATTAAAGGATAATTTTCATGCATTGATTATGTTGAAAAAAGCTAGTGATATATTTATGATTTTTAATACAGATTAGTGTTTGTTTCAAATGGAATATATACTATTTTCGAAACATTTTACTAAGACTTGATTGACGAATTTGGTATTTTTTCATCCATTACTTATTAAAACCTTCAGCTATCAACTAATTTTTGTCTTAGATAATTCTTTTCCCTTGTGTATATCCTCGCTAACAATCTTGCTAAAGAATCAGAATTAATTTTCTATTATTTCTACAATCCTGCCAAAAGATCTGTCTTCATATACTGGATTTAAAATAATATGTTTTCAGGAGATATTACTATTATATTAAATAGAGCAAATAATAAACTTCCTATGAAATGAAAACTCGTCGAAAATGGAGTTCATTAATGTTAGACAATAAGATTTATGAAAACTTTTCTAAAGTTGAACTCTCTAAGTTTGCAATATTTTACTGACTACAAATATGAGAAAAATTATTCATGACATAAAGTTCGAACTAAATATGATACAAAATTCTTTATTTTTTCATCGTTTTATGAATACAATCAATAATTAGTATGATGGCGGACCGTTGATATTCTTTATTGCACGAAGTCGAGATGAATACGAACATAGAACAGTTTGAAATAAATCAATATCTGTTTCCATGTTTGTCAAAACATCGAAAATGTGCATTTTAAGTGTCTCTTCAAGATAACAATTATGTTCAGTTTCTGATAATTTTTTTTCCGATTTCATCTTGGGTGTGGGTGTAGTTAAGGAGAAGGAAGATACTGATACCCAACCCATACCCCACACCCCACACTTCACACCCACACCCGCAATATCTTTGTCTCGACCACTATTATGTTGTGTTTTTCTTTCTTTTAATCTACTAATTATCA